GGCTCTGGTGCTTTAGCGGGGTAGGGAGCTCTCTGTGTCTGTTCTTCTTCACTCTGTCGCATCCAAGCAGGTGTCAAACGCTTGAGAGAGAGAAACTCAGTGCAGGCCACATCTAGGAAGGAAGTACTTAAGGGCATGTTTACTATCTGGGACGCCTGGGGAATTCAGAAGCCTGGTAAGCTTGGCTCTGTCTGTCCTGGGTGGAGAGGTGGCACAGAAAGGCAGTGGTGAGCAGTATCGGTCTGCTGACACCCAGCAGACATTTCACTACCTGGGGAGTTTGCACCTTCTTTCTTTTTTCTAAATTTACACTGGCAAATGTAGACCTCAACCAATTCCTGCTCATTTGTTGCCTGCCTTCATTTGTCTGTGTTGCTGGAAAAGAAATGAAATATTGTTGCCTCTGAGCTTCGGGACAGCACTTTTCTTAGCAGGCAACCAGAGTGGCCTTGGGGATTTAGCTCGGGCAGGGAGGGAGGCAGTGGCTTATGCAGGTCCAGCACCAGCAGAGGCCAGTGCCCGGGGCTGTGTTCAGTGGCTGCCCTCAGTTTTGGATCCCCAGTGCTGAGGGTTGATACTGCAGCAGCACGGGGAAGATGCTGTGCCTGTGCAAGCAAGGGCAGGGGCTGCCCTTGCTTGTTACCCAGAGGTTGGCGAGGCATGCCAAAATTGGGGGGAGGAGGGGTACTCACTTAAGAAGAGGAGAATCCCTCCGTGCCTCGCATTGCCCTCCGTAACGTGGGTACCAGCAGTTCTGACAGTTTTTCGTGGGCTGCAGGCACTGTTGAAAGAAGAGGTACAGCCACGCTCTGCGCTGGTTGCGGCCGGAGGCTGCGTGTTTCTGCTTGGTCTGGGCTAATGTGTAATTTCTAATCACAGTCTCATATGTTTCTGTACTTTAATTATCACTTGCAGCAAAACAGTGACTGACTATAGCCAGGAGTAGTGTTGTAGCCGTCAGCTCTGCCTTGCAGAAGGTTTGTTGTCTCTGAGTCACTCCTGATGCCATAGGGACAGGCAGAGTTTTTGCTACTACATAAACCCCTGAGGCTCGGGCAGCTTCCCCGCAGCCCCACACAACCAGAGCCAAGCACAGCCACGTCCCACGAGCTGCTTCACTCCAGTTACAGCTGCAGGGCTCCCCAAGCTCCCTTACCCTGGCAGAGGTGCCCTGGTCACCTCTCCTGCTCCCACAGAAGCAAAGCACGGAGGTGCTGCTGCAAACTGCACTAAGCAAAGATTAAGCAAGGTACCCGTGAGGAAGACAGCTGGTGCCAGCTTTCTGTGAAGGAAGGAAACAGCTTTGCAGTGTTAACAGCAGTGGAGCCTGTGATGGTGAGCTGCAGCTTGCCCAGGAGGCCTGCTGCAGTGCTGGGGTGGCTTCTCATGCACTGCATCATCCTTTGGAGGCTGACTGGCTCTAATCTGCAAACCCCCACTGTGTTTTCTGCAGCCCAGAGGAGGCAGGCTGTGAAGGCAGCTCTGCTTGTGTGGGGAAAATACTCAGGCCTCGATCACAGCTTCACATTGCTGCTATCAGACCAACACCATCTCAGTAGCCTTGTTGATACCATCACCACCCTGCCTGGGTGCTGTGCTTTGTCCTCTCCCATCACACCCCAGTGTTTCACCCAAGACCAGGCTGTAAAGCGGGGCTCCTGGCTTGGGTTTGGAGCAGGAGCTGATGCTGAAGGGCACTGTGTCTGAGCCCCGGTTCCTTCCCATCCTGCCCGACTTTCACCAGGTGCTTTGGTGAGCAGCCCCCAGTTCTGGTGGCGCAGCCCCAGTGCTGTGAGGGGACGGTGGCAGCTTCTCTCCCACCTGGGTTTCCTCACGGTGAAGCCACGTTTCTGCCCTCCATGAACCCGTGCTGCCTGTGCTGGCCCTCTCCCCGTCCTTGCAGGCCCTGGTGTAAAATGCCCTTTCTGACGGACACCGCTCTGTTGTCACAGAATCACATCGTGAGAACACTGACTTGTGAGCTGGTTTGAGTTTTTAAAATATCTCTATTTTTTTTAGCCTGATGGTCATAGTGATCTGCAGTCTTTTTGCTGCCTTCAAGTCCCTTGTGGTTTCAGTTTTGGTACAAATGTGTTTAGATTTTAGCAAATTAAAGTTGGGGTGGGAGGGGATACAGAGCATCTGATCAATTTGTATTTATTTATTTTAACATTTTACTAAATAAACCACAATAAAATCTCTCGTCTCCTCAGCTGTATGTACCAGGCAGAGACCGGGGGTCCCACAGGCACAGGGGATGTTGTGGTGCCTGGAGAAAGACCCCAGCACCAGGAGGTTTCTGCCCATGACTCTGTGCAATGGCTGTGGTGTGCTCTGGCTCAACGCTCGCTTTTTTGGCAGGAGATAAGTGCGCTGTGTGAGTAGAAATCAATTTTGGCTCTAAAAGGGGCTGTGCTCGGTTAAGAAAAATCTCAGCACACTCTGACTCAGTGGCTGCCTCCAGCTGGTGCTGCCCGGCAGAGGGCACACAGAGACCAAACCCGAGCTGGGTTTACTCCAGGTACCTAAACGCTTCTAGGCGAGTTTTGGGCTAAGGCTGAGAAGGATTTTCTGAAAATGATGGCACGCGGTGCTCCTGCTGTAGGCATAGCAGTACACCTTCCAAAAATCCTGCAGAGCCAGCATTTCCGTAGCCATCCAACCATCAAAGACTTGCCTAGAAGAGGCCTGCTCCATCCGGGCACTGCTCCACCACCACGGCTCTAGCAGAGAGCAGGCCAAACTACTGCCTATGTCTGATCTAAACCTGTGTTGCCATTTAATGCAACAGCAGAGCGCTATCAGCGAGCTTTGGCTGTATTAAACCAAAGCTGTCTGCTGCAGCCTGGTTGGGTGGAGCTGCACTGGCATCACGGTGATCAGCACTGCCTTTCCAGCCCTTTCCCAAATAAAGCCTCAGCCGCTTGCTCCTGGCCTAACACCCCCATCCTTCCCTGCTGCAGCTGCAAGGCTGGCGCCTCATATGGCCCAAGAGCCAGTTCTTATTCCCAGCAGCCCTGTGAAGCCACGGCCACGCAGCGGGGAGCCCTGGTCAGTCCTGCTGTGTCCTCGGCGAGCGAGGGGAAGGTCCTGCGGGTCACAGCGCAGTGGCCAGCTTGGTGCACTGGTCTCAGGGATGAGCCACAGCGCTGCCAGAAGAACAAAACACAGCCATCCTGCTTGGGCGTGATTCAACTGACTGCGTGCTGAAGCTGTGAAGCCCCAGGCTCTGTTTCGAGGGTGCTGGCGGGTGCTGCCCCCCAGTCTGCCAGCCCTGCTGCAGCACCAGGACCAGCGGACCTGAGCCCACCACAGTCAGTGACCACCAGTGTCACAGCTGGGAGGTGACCACAGTGCCTGCCCCTTGGTGACACGGGCATGTCTTCTGCCTGCTGCTGCTCCCCACTCCTCAACCCTCCCACTGTGCCACCCAGGAAGAGAAGAGGCTTCAAACGCAGCAGGCAGAGCAAGCCCAGCCATGCTTTTCCCCAGCGGAGGCTCGAGCTCCCGTGCGCTGCTCTCCTCCAGCTGCTTTCCCTCCAGGGAACACGTGCAGGCACGCAGCAGAACAAAATTAATAACCAGGCAGTTCTGACAAGGAGGTGAAAAAGAATAAAAAAGCTTTAATTTAAAAATTAAATTAAAAAGAGAAAATAAGCAAGAGGCGCTTGTGCCCTTTCCGTACCCCGCGCTTTGTATGGCTCCTCCCAGCCGCTCCCACCATGGACGGAAATGCTCACACCTGCACAGAGCTGGCTCTCACAGCCCACAGTAACGCTAAGGAGAGAACAGCAGAGACTGCAGCAGCAACTGGCCCAGAGAAGCTCCAGGGCCACCAGCAAAATCATCCGGGAGGAAGAAAGGATTAAAACAAAACAAAAAAAAAAACAACCCAAGACACCCTAATCATTTAATTCTTAGGAGAAAAGTATTAAATAATTTAAATAGCGTGAGGAAAGCAATGCATCCTCTGTGCTCCAGTGTGTGAGTGTGTGTGCCGCAGTGCTCAGCTACGGTCTCGTCCAGTGTCAACCCACATCCCTGACTGCCTATGGCAATGTCTGTGCTGCCAAGAGCTGGGGAGGAGCAGGGTGGTCCCCTGCCAGGAGATTTCTCCAAGCATCCGCTGGCCCACGAAGCCGCTGCTTTGCCCATCGCAGTGGCTGCAGGCGTGGTTTGCAGCCATGCCCTGCAGGGCGCTGCCAGCCCCAGGATGGGACCTGTGACCAGCCTGGCTGCTTCCAGCCAGGAAGCAAAGGTGCATGAAGTCACTGCTGGGGACAGCAGACAGCCCCTCCTGCTCTGGGTGATTCCCACACCACCAGTGCTGGGCCACCACCACTGCAGACATTGCATCCATATGGATGGGGAGTACCAATATTTCACCCCGTTAACCAGCCAGCCTCGGTCCAGGCTTGAATGCGGCCTCCACAACTCCTGGTACTCCCTGGCCCCCACCTCCCCTTCTGAGAGGCTTTCTCTGAGCCTGGCTCCACAAAGGATGTGCTACATCCTTGTCTCCTACTCACCAAACCCTGGGAGGGATGTGCAAAGAATTGGGATCTGGTACCACAGAGCAGCAGCAGAGCAGGGCAAGGTACAGCTCCCAGTTCTCTCAAGGAGCCAGGCCTCAAGGTGAGGGGATCTAAAAAAAGCTGGAAATCCAAATCTACTAAAACAGGGGAGGAAGGAGACCTGTCCCCCTGGCCCCTGGGATGGGGAGGTTCCTCTATAACTTAGGAAGGCTGTTGCTCAAAAAAAAAAAACCCAACAAAAAAAACCCAAAACCCTTGGCCACGCCACAGCAGCCTGACCTGCAGACACAGCCTGTTCTCACGGCTGGCATCTTTTGTCCTAGCTACGGGCATCCCATCGCTGGGCTGGCCAGGCCATGCTGTCGGCTCAGTCCCCTCAGGCCGGCTGCGGCACTGGTCCGGGCCAGGACTCAGCACTCCACGCCCACTGTCCCAGGGCATCACAGGCTTCTCTCGGCAGTGAGGTATTTGAGCGCGGCAGCCCCGTAGCGCCGCGACAGGTCCTGGTGGAACTCCTCCCGCAGCGTCTGAAGGCAGCCCCGGTACCCCGCGCTCAGGCGAAACTTGGAGATGTCGAAGCTGGGGGCATGGGGCATGTGGATCATGAAGGCGTTGGGCAGGACCAGCAGCTCGTACTCCTGGGGGCAGAGCAACGGCCCTTGCCGTCAGCATCGGTTTGGTGGTACCAACACGTCACCACCCGGCCAACACCTCCCAGCACCCAGCACCTCCGCGGTGCCTGGAGCAGCCCCTCGCCCACCTGTGCATCCAGCTCCATGATGTGGGACACCTTGTTCCAGCCGAAGCCCACGAACCTCTGGTCGTATCTGGGGCAGTCTCGCCTCACTACAACGTAAGGCTCGAAGTCTGGCTGCCACGCCACACGGTATGGCACGGTGGCTGTCCGCCACTTGGCATAGTCAGTTGGGGCATGGCCTTTTGGCCACACATGGTACCTGCGGGAAGAGGTGGAAATGAGAGACCAGGTAAAACTGGGAGCTCCTCGAGACAGGAAGGATGCAAGGTGTCCTCTGAGATGACTGCCCCACAGCCCCAAGGCACAAGGGTACAGAAAAATGGCTTCTGCTGGGTGTCAGCCCTGTTGGACAGCAGGGCACGTCCAGTTCCTACCTGAAGGTGTAGAGGGAGCCCATGTCCAGCATGGAGAGCAACTCTGCTTTGGATTTGGGGAAGGTCAGGCGGTAGTGCAGGGTCTCAAACGCCGGCACGATGAGAGCTGCCTTCCTCTGGGGCAGCTCCAGCTGCTGGATGGAGTTCCTGTGGTGGGAGGAAGGGTGTGAGGTCTCCCTGGCTATGAGCTGTGGCCACAGCCCCCTTCCTCAGCCCCTCCAGCCTGCCCACCGCTCCAGAAGGGTGTTAATGAGTTTGGACACTTTGCAGTGGTGCCATGCAAGGGCAGGAGGAATGGGGCACCCCTCAAAGCCACAGCTGCTTCCTCATCCACTGGCATCTGACAAAAGCAAGGGCAGGATCCCAAGGCTGAGCACAAAGGAAACAGTATCAGCACGTTGAGAACTGCTGCCCAGGGTGCTTCCTGCAAACCCTGGTGCCTGGGGAGAAAGTGCCTGGAGAAAGCCTTACCTGAGGTAATCATAGAGGCCATACATCGGCAGGAAGTCAATGTCCGTCAGAAAGACATATGGCGTCTGCGTGTTGGCCAAGGCCACGTTGCGCAGGAGGTTGATGGGGTAGAACTGCCCCTCCTTGTAGACGATGTGGTAGGCAACGTTGCGGCGGGCGCTCAGCACCTCCGAGGCCTGGGCGTAGCGCAGGAACTGCTGGGCCTCCGCATCTGACATGTACAGCGCCAGGCTGATGGGGCCTGCCCAGTGCTTGCAGATGGCCTCCAACATCTGCAACCTGCGAGGCGGAGGGCACTGTGTGAGCAGGAGACCTGCCCCGCAGAAGCCCAGCCAAACCCAAAACTGGGTGTCCCTCAGTGAGCCACATGCCAGCTGAGCCCAGTTCAGGGGGGAGCAGGCGGAATCGCTGCTCCCAGCGTGGGGTGCTGCTCCTCGCTGCAAAGCACTGGTGTGAGGGTGAGCAACCCGTGTTTCCAGATCCCTGGTAGCTCCCAAGCTGTGGAGCCACCACAGAAGAGTGGAGGAGGGACCCAATCTCCCACCAGCCCCACCAGCAAGTACCTGTCCATGGAGAGCTGGGCCACGAGGGTGACATCAGTGGGGTCGGGAAGGGCCAGGAACTCGTACTGCAGGAAGAACAGGTGGATGCGGTGCTGCGTGAGGTGCTGCCGGCGGAAATCGTAGCAGGGATCATCCTCATCCAGCTCCTCGAGCGCCTGCTGCAGCTGCAACACAATGAAGATGAGAGAGAGCAGATGCCTCGCGGGGAGACTGTGCCCACCCCACGCTCTGGAGCTGGGAGCAGAGCTGCAGTGGCCCTCACCTGGTCACTGGGAGGGCTGGGGAGGCTGGCACAGCCAAAGAGCTCCCTGCGCAGCAGGTTCCCGTCATACTCCAGGAAGGTCAGGTAGAGGTTGCGGAAGAATTCCACGTGCTTGTTCTTCACCCGCAGCTTTTTGGGCGAGTTCCAGTGGATCACCTGAGGGCCATCGTGTGTCACACACCGCAGAGGGGAACTCAGCAGCACCCAGCGCTTCCCAAGCTCCCAGACCCCACGCTGACTCCCCCAGACCTCCAGCACACGTGCTGCCCTTCAGGCCCTCCCCAGTCCCAAAGGCAGTAAACTCACCCACCTTGAGATCAGAGACTTCGGTGTAGCACTGCTCCGAGCGGGTGTGATCAGATAGCTGCACGTTCCAGAAGCAGGGGAGCCGGTACACCAGGGCCGGGTCCTGCTTGATCACCGCGTTAAAGATGTCCTAGGAGAGAGAAAGGCGAGGGCACAGGTGGATGAGGATGACAGCATGGCCCCCCACATGCCAGCAGTGCGAAGGGAACACAGCAGGGCTGGCCACCTTGGGAGAGGGACTGTCACCTGGTCTGCCAGTGAGGTGGAGAGCATGCTCATCAGCTCCCGCTCCGCCGTCAGCCGCCACATCTGCTCCCAGCCCAGGCGACGCAGGCGGTCCAGCAGGAGCAGGATCACCCCTGGGTGCCGGGGAGGAGGGCACTGAGTCACCGAGGGAGCACTCGGCCGTTGGAGAGCAGGAGCACAGCAGCCTGCAAGCCTTCGCCCCCTGCGACATGCTGCTTCTCTGCGCCCACCCACACCACCCCAGGACACTGTAGCAGCCCCTCTGTGCCCACCAGACTCTCCTGCCTCACCTCAGCCTTCCCCAGCCTCCCTGTGCCAAGCACTGCCTCAGCTGGAGGGGCACCCTGGCACCCACCCTGGCAGCCCACACTCACCCGTGTTGAAGCCACGTCCCAGGGCTGGCCACGGTTTGTGGTTTTTCCACAGGTTGCCCAAATACCAGTCGCTTTGGTTCTCCACCAGCCCGATCACCTGCTTGTCTGAGGAAAGAAAGGGACATGGATGCAGTCCCTCCTGCTGTAGGTTCAGAGGGCCCATGCAAACCCGCTGCACTGGTGCTGTGGCAGATGGGGGCTGCCACCCCGAGGCCCAGCACCCAAGGCTCTGCCAGGGCCCACCGTCCTCACCAGAAAATTTCCCAAAGACAGCCCAGAGCTCAGCGATGTCGGTGGCAAAGGTGATGTCAGTGTCCAAGACGATGACCTTGGAGAGGTTAGAGGGCAGCGCCTTGGTAAGCGTCAGCTTCATCAGCCCATAGATGCCGGAGTAGTGCTTGTTGGGGATCCACGACACCTCCGGCTGCAAGGAGACCTGGCCTCAGGGCTGGGCACAACAGAGCTGTGGAGCCAGCCCAGCCTGGAGCACCTCCTCCAGCTGCACCACCAGCAGCCGCAACCCTCTCCCCCCAGGCCCTTCAGGGGTTTGCTGACTGCATCTCCTTTCCCTTTGCTCTCACCTTGCCCTGGCTCTTCCTCTGGCCACCAGAAAAACCCCCACCTGAACTCATGTTCACGTGCTCAGTGGGGGGCCCAGCTCTGCCACAGAGGCAGTGCTGCCCCCAGGGGCCTCCCTACCCCTCCAGCACCAGCCCTGTGCCCCCTTCTCAGCTGGACCAGCAGCAAGTCCAGGAAAGGGAACAGGTGAGCAAGGGAACAGCAGGAAAAGAGTTAATAGACCCCCTCCTGCTCGCCCCTCTCTGCTGCCCCCATGGCCCTCCCAGCACTGAGACAGGGCAAAGGGAGGGCAAGTTCCTGCCTTCAAGTCATCAGCGTTGTAGAAGCTGATGTGGACGGAGGGCACCATCCAGGACTGGAAGAGGGTCTGGGGGGTCGG